ATTTTTAAATTCTCAAGATTCCAGTATATCCAATACTCAAATTTCCAAATTACCAAATCTACATATTTGCAAATTGCCACAAATTTTCAAGTTGTTCAATATGTAAACTTTTAATTCTCAAATTCTCAATTTTTCTAAGTATCAAATTTTCAAATTTTTAAATTTTTGGTTCTCCAAATGCTCAAATGTGGAAATACTCAAATTTCCAAATTCTTAATTTCTCAAATTCTCAAAGGCTCAAATTTCCAAATTCTTAATTTCTCAAATTCTCAAAGACTCAAATTTCCAAATTCTTAATTTTCCAAATTCTCAAAGGCTCAAATTTCCAAATTCTTAATTTCTCAAATTCTCAAAGGCTCAAATTTCCACATTCTTAATTTCTCAAAATCTCAAAGGCTCAAATTTCCAAATTCTTAATTTCTCAAATTCTCAAAGGATTAAATTTCCAAATTCTTAATTTTTCAAATTCTCAAATGTTCAAATTTCCAAATTCTTAATTTCTCAAATTCTCAAAGGATTAAATTTCCAAATTCTTAATTTTCCAAATTCTCAAAGGCTCAAATTTCCAAATTCTTAATTTCTCAAATTCTCAAAGGCTCAAATGCTCAAATTTCCAAATTCTTAATTTCTCAAATTCTCAAAGGCTCAAATTTCTAAATTCTTAATTTCTCAAATTCTCAAATGCTCAAATTTCTAAATTCTTAATTTCTCAAATTCTCAAAGGCTCAAATTTCCAAATTCTTAATTTCTCAAATTCTCAAAGGCTCAAATTTCCAAATTCTTAATTTCTCAAATTCTCAAAGGCTCAAATTTCTAAATTCTTAATTTCTCAAATTCTCAAATGCTCAAATTTCTAAATTCTTAATTTCTCAAATGCTCAAATTTTAATTTTTCAACTACTCAAATTTTTAATTTCTCAAATGCTAAAATTCTCAAATTCTTAATTTCGTAATTTCTCAAATTAATTATTAAAATTTCAAATTTGAAAATCCGTAAAATTTCAGTACCCCAAATTTCCAAAATCCTCAAAATAAACCAAATTTGCAAATCTCCAAATTACTATACCACCAAATCCGTAAATCTAATTTTGCCACCGATACGAACAAGAAATTGGTTTCAAAAAAAGAACAGACAATACTAATATGAAACAAATAATAGACCATATTCCAACTCTGAGAGTGAGAGTTTTGTTGATTGTTATAAGAAGAAAAATTCCGTTAAGTTCGCGATACACAAAAAGAAGATCTATGTATATAAAATGGCAGGTATAAAGTATCTTGGACATTCTTAACGTTGTCACGCAGCAGGAAGAAAATACATTTTCAACCTTCAACCATTTCCGTGCAACTGCAGCGTTCATTTTCATTCGTAACTTTTAACGAGGCTCAAATTTTCCAATCGAATAACTGTACAGTTAGAGAATTGTGCGTTCATCGGTGTACACAATAAATGTAGCTTGTTAAGTGGAAATATGGCTGCCAAGTTAAAAATGGGCGCCTGCTCATTGTACCTATATTCATTGTTATCGATTTTTAGTAACTTTTGAGAACTTTTGAAATTTGAAAATGTGGTATAAATGTAGACTTATAGGAATTTATCAATTTTGAGGTTTTGGGACTTGGAAATTGAAAGATCTAGGGGATTTTAAAATTTTAAGGAACTAGGGAAATTTTAGTCTAGAAATTCGAAGACATCAGAGATCTAGGGATATGGGAATCTAGGAATTTGGGGATTTTTAAATTTTGGAGATCTAGGAATTAGGGAATTTCTAAATTTTAAAAAACTAGGGAAATTTTAATCTATGAATTTGAAGATATTAGAATTTTGGAGATCTAGGAATTAGGGGATTTCTAAATTTAAAAAAACTAGGGAAATTTTAATCTATGAATTTGAAGATATTAGAATTTTGGAGATCTAGGGATATAGAAAACTAGGGATTTGGGGACCTTAGAATTTTTTAGATCTGGGGATGTCATAATTTAGGAATTTGCAGATTTCTAAATTTTGAAGATCTAAGAATTTAAAAATGTTTAGATTTAGAGATATTGGAATCTAGGGACATGGGAATCCAGGGATTTAATAATTTCACAATTTTTAGATCTAGGGATACTATGGTCTATTACTATCTAGGCATTTATGGATCTTAGAATTTCTTAGATCTAGGGTAATGTAGGAATCAGTAATGTAGGAATCTAGGGATTTCATGATCTTAGAATATTTAAGTTTTAGAGATATGATAATCTAGGAATTTGGGAATTTTTCAATTTTGGAGATTTAGGAATTAGGGGATTTTTAGATCTAGGGATATTGGGACCTAGAAACATAAGAATCCAGTGATGTGGAAATTTTAGATCTAGGGATATTATGGTCCAGGGATATGCAATTCTAGGGATATTAGTATCTAAGGACATTAAAATCTAGAAGTTTATCAGTCTGGAGATTTAAGGATCTAGCAATTTGTGTGCATAGTTATTTATGTATCTAGGGACTTATCCATGTCTAAGAACCTTGCGATGTCTAGATTTAGGGATATGGAGATCTAGGTATTTTCGTACACAAGAATTAAATACTTGCAACTGTAATATTTCAAAATTTTGACAAATGTATTTTAATTATAATTTTTCATAAAATGATAGAAACAGCGGTTACTAAATCCCTTTAAATAATAAACGAAATAACGGTAAGAATTAAATAAATGAAATTCTGTCCGAGGTAACATTCGTCATAATTTAATTACATTAACGGTAAGGTATCAAGTGACGTCGAAGCCAAAACAGTTTGAACGCTGTCTGATTTTGATAGATTTATGTCTGGAGCTTTCTTCCGAGTATCCAGGAAGACCTGAAGTACATAATATATGTACGTACAGTCAACAACAAATCTGGCTTCTCTACGAAAAATATCGCAACTGAGGCTAGACAGATTTACCACTTGTAAATTTTTAGTAATATTTTAGAATTTTACAACTTTATGGTATAAAAATATAAGAATTTAAGATTTTACATATTTGAAGACCTTAGGAATGTAATGAATCTTGTTATTTTTTTGGGATCTAGGGATTTTGGGACTTGAGAATTTTTCGATGTAGACATTATTAATTTTAGAAAATTTTATTTAGGAATTTAAAGATTTAAGATCCTGGAAATTTAGATATATAAATTTTTGATTACGAATTTGTACATTTGTAAATTTATAAATCTGTAAATTTATAGGTTTTAAATTCAACAATCAGTAATTTCGAAAATTTATAAATTAAGAAGTTTCTAAATCTAACTATTACGATTTAGAAAATTTCCAGATTAAAAAATCGTCAAATTTCTAACCTAAAATTCATAAAGCTTGAAAATTACTGAACTTACTTTAAACATTAAAAAGTTTGAAGGTTTCACTGCTAAAAGATTAAAATTATTAAAATAGTACTATTACAACAGTTATCTTTATACCTAAAAACACTTCAGTTTTATTGAGATTTTAAGAAGAACTCCACGAATGTCTTCTTTAATTTAACAATTTATTAGCTACTTGCACTAAACGTCTTTACTATTCGTCTTCCAAATCTATTCTATTCGTCACGTGTCAACCGTCGTGAACCGGCAACCGTTCCGCACGCCGTAAATTATCGAAGATTGCCGAATCGTTCCGAGTATCTCGGTCGCGTCCTTTCTGAGACATGCAGTTGTCCTTTTTTAACGTTCCTTTTTAACAACTTTCGATACTCTTAAAAACGTCAAGTCGTATTATATACTTCCTACATGTAAATATAATAACTGTCAATGTATAATAACTGTAAAAAATTGAAAACTAATAATTTAGTAAAATGTATTTATGTTCATCCGTTAAATTACGAGAGTGCCAAAAGTGTGTGAATTATTTCAAATAATTGAAATAACGTCCTATCGAAGACACGTAGTTGTTCTATTTGAATAAGTTTCTTAATACCTACTGTGGAATACAACTACAATCGATGAAGTATCAATAAAATAGATCAAAAATAAGTAACAAATCGTTTTTATTACAAAGTAGCTTGTTTGTTAACTTTACTTTATTGACGTATCGTGTTTCACAATGTTTATTATTTTAAAGATAAATTTCACAGCACAGAAGAGGAATAGGGTAAACATTCTCGACGCTGCACTGTTTGCTTTCGCGTGTCGGACGAGGCGAATCTACTTTTATACCGTCTTTACCGTTCCTTTCTTCTGCACAGCGTAACAATTCGCATACAAAAATCTTTTTGTCTGTTTCATTCCTTTTTTACTCGTCTTTTCGCTGCTTTACAACCATTGTTGTTTTCTATTTTGTCCACACTACGCTCTTTTTTAGAAATGTCATTACGAAACGTTTTGTTGAACCCTGATGACTAAACGCATAGATTATAAACAAATATTTTTTGTTTTTTTACAAATTTTTTTTTTTTTAACAAATTCTGTTGCGTGTTATATCTTTTATATTTATACAGATTTTGCTTTATCTTGTGACTGATTTTTAAATAAATTGTGTTGCTCCTTATATCTTCTGTGTTGTATAATTTTTAACCAAATTTTCTTGTATCTTGTATCTATTATTTTTAACCAAATTTTTTTGTATTTTAAACAATTTTTGAATAAAATCTGTAATTTCTTATCACTTGTATTTTTTTTAAATTTTGCTGTATTTTTTATCTTATATTTTTAGACAAATTCATAATAAAATGCATAAATTTGCACGTATGTTTTATTGTATTGTTTAACTGTTATTTAACTGTAATAAATAATTAATATTATTATATTGCTACACACAGAATAGTGTTTAGTGATTTATTGTGATTGTGGATCATTCCAATATAGATAAACAAAATATCTCTTCCTTCTGCACAAAAATTTTTAATTTAATATTTTATTATTTCTCATTGTCTAAAATTATAACGTAAAATATTTCTTATTCAAAATTCTATTTAAACTAAAACGTAAATTGTCAAGTATTTTTCTTTATCCATTAAGATAAGGTCTTACAAGGTGAAAACGATTTTTAAAAAAGCTCCTAAAAGGTGAATGTCTTAAATAGACCCTATTAAAAAGTTCCAAAACTTGTTTGATCGTTAATTAAAACTAAATTAAGTTTCGTGTTGAAGAATGGATACTCATTATTTCTCGATGACTTATCGCAATCTTCAGCCATTATATAACTTGTATGATTTTGCATTTGCACTTTGTTATGCATATTTGCATATTTTTATTTACATGCAGAGACATGATTTTTTTAAATTATAAATTCATGTATTAAATGAATAATATTCTTCATTTTTGTAAGAGATGGGAATGCAAGCAGGTTTTGTGTGCTGCCCTCTACCGTTTTTCTTTTGTTTTTCTTGACTATCTTTTGTCTGTGTTCTTCTATTCTTGGCGTCCATGTCAGGACCGCGTGGCCGCTACATCAATAAAGGATTTGTATTAAATCCTTTGAGGGTCAAGACTAAGTTTTAATTACAGCGAGTATGATTTTTGATACCTATGGTGAAAAATTGATACGTTTGGACGGTTCTTTTTTATCTTATGGTGTATTGGTCAGCAGAGACAAGGACAGTAGATGTTAGATTTATACATACACATATACATACACATACACATATACATGTGTTATGTATGTGTTAAAACATACAAATAGAATGACATTATATACAAAGAAAATAAACTTCAGCAAATAATGGTACAAGGTTTAAGATAATAAACAGAACTAGATAAAATATTTATACAGACAGAAGTAAGATTGTTGAAAACTTATTATTAATAAATGGCTTAAAAATATATATAATTACATGCTTGTTATAGAAAGTAGAATTATTTCATGATATGAGGTAAACCAATCAATATAAAATTATCTAATTCATTATAAATAAATAATAAAAGTTAATTGTTTATATAATATTCTCAGATTAGTATTTGAATATTTCTATTGTCCTATAAAATTTGAGTACATTAATTATAGTATAATAAAGAATTTGAAATAGTACTTACTCTCAGATACATTAAGCATAATTAATAATAGATAAATAATTATTTGTTCAAAAAATAGTATTAAAATTTTTAATAACAATATTAAGTTCCAATAAATTATATGATGATCAATAAAATGATAAAAAATGTAAAATTATATTTGTTATAAATTAAGTTATCAAATTCCATACATATAAACAATAATAATTATATAATTATATATCTTTTAAGAGTAATATTTTTATTTTTCTTACATTTCTAAAAAATTTGAATCAATTAAATAATCAAAGAAGTAGTAAAAACTTAGAAATCAAATAACCAGTGACCAAATAACCAATTACACTGCACACAAATAATAATAACAATTCAACAATTATCCATTTAAAAAATTGCATTCTTTGTCAATACATCCATCAAATTTGAGTAAATCAATAGAAAAACATTTAAAAACCATAAATGTTGCAAAAACTAGTAAGAGTAATAGTAAAATCGATACGCATTAGAAATATAGATAATTATTTTTAAATATTTATATCATATTCAAATATGACTCTTGGAATAATTTTAACTGCAATAAATATATGTATGTATTTCGTGAGAGAGACCTTATGCATGACTTTTTAATTAACATCTTTGTGACCAAACAGTCCCTTTGGCGCAGAGGATAGCGCGTTGGACTTCTAATCCAAAGGTCGCGGGTTCGATCCCCGCAAGGGATGATGTGTTTTGCACGTGAAAACAAAAATATTACAAGTTTTCATTTTTTTTTTTAACAATATAACACATTATTTCTCTAACATTTACACTCTGGAATTGATTATATACTAATAGCTTTTTTGAATGTAATATAAACAAAAATAAATCTAAACAGCATTTGTAATTAGATTTTCTTTGCAACCAAACGTATGAAATACAGATAAAATTATTTGTGCAGTTCGTTTCTTTTTTTATAATATAATGTATAATTTAGAATGTAAGCAACAGAATTAATTGTTTATAAATAGTTTTTGTTAAGATGCAATATGAACGAGAAGAAATCTAAACAACATTTATATCTCTCAGATTTTAATTAGATTTTCTTTACAACGAAACGTGTGAAATATAGATAAAATTATTTGTGCAGTTCGTTTCTTTTTTTTTAATAATATAGTGTATAATTTAGAATGCAAGTAACAGAATTAATTGTTTATAAATAGCTTTTTAATGAAATATGAACAAAGAGAAATCTAAACTGCACTTATATTTCTCAAATTTTAATTAGTTTTTCCTTACAACGAAACGTGTGAAATATAGATAAAATTATTTGTGCAATTCGTTTCTTTTTTTTAATAATAAAACATAATTTCGCTAACATATAAATTACAGAATTACTTATATGTAGATACAGTTACTCGATTTAATATTCGGACACTATGGTATTTGCGAAATTAAAGCTTTATGTACTTACTTGCAATGTGATTATCGAATTTTCTGATCCGTAATGAGTTAAAGCACATATTCTAATTTACAAATATGTAAAATTAAATACTTTATTTTTTATTGTTTTCCACATAATAAATGTAGGATGGGAGCAAGAAGATGAGAAACGGATTAAAGTTATAGTAAATATTTTAATAAATTGAAAGGAATACAAAAATTGATAGTTCACGTTTCTACGGTTCGGCCAAGACTAGACTGTCCTTTCGACGCTGTCGCGTTTTTTTATACTACGCATTCACACTCTTTTGTTTCACACTCGTACATCACACACACTCATACCACGCAAAAATTAATTCCCCTTTACCGAATCCCACACTCGGCCGTTCCTGACCTATCTTCGGTCCCCGATGATAAATCTAAATACGGTTTCATATAATCTGAGGCGGTACTAGTTATTTTTGGTCCTTCATCGTCCCCTATTCGAATAACTTCGTATCTATTATTTCGTTTTACGCGCGATACCCGATACGGTCCTAGAAATTTCTTTTTAATTTTCAAGCCCGGTCCAAACTGAGTGCGCTTGATCACTACAAGATCCCCTTCTTTATACTCTCTGGCTTTCGTACATGTTTTATTGTGATTTCGCACGTTTTCCTCTTGAATCTTTATGATATTTTGTTTTGCTAATTGTCTTAATTGGTCTCGTTCTTCGTTATACAATTCTATTGCTTCTTGCTGGATCAGTCTCTGAACTTCTAAATCTTGTGTATGCCGCATCCTCGTACCGATCAGTACTTCAAATGGAGTCATGCCTACGCTGCGTTGATATGTACTGTTTATCGCTTGTTGTACTTTTCTGACGTGTTTGTACCATTTTTCCGGGGCTTCTATCGAAAGTTTTGTTAATATCGGTATAATAATTCGGTTTATACGCTCCACCTGTCCGTTACCTCTGGGGATAAATGAAATTAGACCCAATATTGGTATCGAAAAAATATTCGGACACTTAATATTACATAAAGTTTTTCTTATTTAGAGTGTTTGTAACAACAAAGTTATAATTTTAATATTAATTTAATATTTTTTGGGACATCCCTTTTGTCTGATGACGTATTGCAAACGTGTTGGCAACGTTATAATTTTAATATTAATTTAATATTTTTTGGGACATCCCTTTTGTCTGATGACGCATTGCAAACGTGTTGGCATGTTTGAAATTATTTTACTTAAATAATTTTGAGTAATGCGTTTCCACTCTTCCGTTAGTCGTATTTTTAATTCGTCTTTTGTTTTTATGGAGGTGGTTTTAGCATTACGATCCAATAAGTCCCACAGATTTTCAATTGGATTAAATTTCGGTGATTGTGGTGGAGGGTGGAGCACTTTCGGATCAACATATAATAAATATTCCTGAACTATTCTCGATTTGTGTTTCGGGTCGTTATTCTGATAGAACTTAAAACTGTCGCGTATACCCATATTCGTTGCATTTTTTAATAAATTTTTGATTAATGTGTCTAATCAATTGTACATAAATAATTATTCTGAACGAAATATGAAAGAAAACAAGTCTCAACAGTATTTATGACTCTCAGATTTTAATTACTTTTTTTTAATAAAGAAACGCTTGAGACACAAATGAAATTATTTATACATCTCATTTCTCTTTTGGAACATTTCTAAAGAGTATAAAGGAGAGCATTAAGTGCAGATAAATCATTTTTTAATTAAATATGAACCCAGTCAGTATTTATCAATTTGAATTTGAATTTTCTTCTCTCAATAACGAAACGTGCGAAATGTACAATAAATGATTTATATTTTTCACTCTATTAAATAATGAAACATGTCGAACGTACAAGCAGGAAAAATATTCGCTGTTAATATATACGTATTTTATGAAGCGTAAATGAAAACAAATCCGAGTAATATTTATTATTTGCTGTTTTTATGTTTCCCTTTTTAATAACGACACAGGCGAAATGTAAATTAAATTAGTTATACTTTCCATTCTTTTAAGTAACAGTTACATAAGTTATAGTAACTCGTAATTTTTGTAATATGTTGGCGATGAAATGAATTGTTAATAAATTACTGTTTTAATGCAGTATAAATACAGATAGATTTGAATAATAATTTCCAAATTCTCAAAATTTTTAGTGCTTTAATTTCTGAATTTCTGAATTTCTGAATTTCTGAATTTCTGAATTTCTGAATTTCTGAATTTCTGAATTTCTGAATTTCTGAATTTCTGAATTTCTGAATTTCTGAATTTCTGAATTTCTGAATTTCTGAATTTCTGAATTTCTGAATTTCTGAATTTCTGAATTTCTGAATTTCTGAATTTCTGAATTTCTGAATTTCTGAATTTCTGAATTTCTGAATTTCTGAATTTCTGAATTTCTGAATTTCTGAATTTCTGAATTTCTGAATTTCTGAATTTCTGAATTTCTGAATTTCTGAATTTCTGAATTTCTGAATTTCTGAATTTCTGAATTTCTGAATTTCTGAATTTCTGAATTTCTGAATTTCTGAATTTCTGAATTTCTGAATTTCTGAATTTCTGAATTTCTGAATTTCTGAATTTCTGAATTTCTGAATTTCTGAATTTCTGAATTTCTGAATTTCTGAATTTCTGAATTTCTGAATTTCTGAATTTCTGAATTTCTGAATTTCTGAATTTCTGAATTTCTGAATTTCTGAATTTCTGAATTTCTGAATTTCTGAATTTCTTTGTTATGACATTATTATATTTCCAAATTTGTGAACTGCTAAATTCCTAAAACCCAAAAATCCTAAGTTTCCAAATTCCTAAAATTTCAGATTCCTAAATTTACAAATTTCTAAATCGCAAATTTTTTAATCTCAAATTCATAAATTTCGAAATTCTAAAAATATCAAATTCCAATATTTTCAAATTCTTAAATCCCAAATTTCTAAATTTCCAAATTCCGAAGTTCCAAATTCCCAAATCTCAAATTCCTAGATTTCCAAATTCCTAAGTTCAAAATTACTAAATTTTCAAATTCCCAAATTTCAAATACCTAAATACCCAAATACCCAAATACCCAAATACCCAAATAC